CAGCGAATATCATTCTCAATGGGGAAAAGCTGAGAGCTTTTCCCCTAAGGTCAGGAACGCGGCAGGGATGTCCACTCTCACCACTGCTATTCAACATAGTATTAGAAGTCCTAGCCACAGCAATCAGACAACAAAAAGAAATCAAAGGCATCCAAATCGGCAAAGAGGAAGTCAAACTCTCACTCTTTGCGGATGATATGATACTTTTTGTGGAAAACCCAAAAGACTCCACCCCAAAACTGCTAGAACTCATACAGGAATTCAGTCAAGTAGCAGGCTATAAAATCAATGCACAGAAATCAGTGGCATTCCTATACACCAACAACAAGACAGAAGAGAGACAAATCAAGGAGTCGATCCCATTCACAATTGCACCCAAAACCATAAGATACCTAGGAATAAATTTAACCAAAGAGGCAAAGGATCTGTACTCAGAAAACTATAAAATACTCAGGAAAGAAATTGAAGAAGACACAAAGAAATGGAAAAACGTTCCATGCTCATGGATTGGGAGAACCAACATTGTGAAGATGTCAATGCTACCTAGAGCAATCTACACATTCAATGCAATCCCCATCAAAATACCGTCCACTTTTTTCAAAGAAATGGAACAAATAATCCTAAAATTTGTATGGAACCAGAAGAGACCCCGAATAGCCAGAGGAATATTGAAAAAGAAAAGCAAAGCCGGCGGCATCACAATTCCGGACTTCCAGCTCTATTACAAAGCTGTCATCATCAAGACCGTATGGTACTGGCACAAAAAGAGACACAGAGATCAATGGAACAGAATCGAGAGCCCAGAAATGGACCCTCAACTCTATGGTCAACTTATCTTTGACAAAGCAGGAAAGAATGTCCAATGGAAAAAAGACAGTCTCTTCAACAAATGGTGTTGGGAAAATTGGACAGCCACATGCAGAAGAATGAAACTGGACCATTTCCTTACACCACACACAAAAATAGACTCCAAATGGTTGAAAGACCTAAACATGAGACAGGAGTCCATCAAAATCCTAAAGGAGAACACAGGTAGCAACCTCTTCGACCTCAGCCGCAGCAACTTCTTCCTAGAAACATCACCAAAGGCACGGGAAGCCAGGGCAAAAATGAACTATTGGGATTTCATCAAGATAAAAAGCTTTTGCACAGCAAAAGAAACAGTCCACAAAACCAAAAGACAACCAACAGAATGGGAGAAAATATTTGCAAATGACATATCAGATAAAGGGCTAGTATCCAAAATCTATAAAGAACTTATCAAACTCAACATCCAAAGAACAAATAATCCAATCAAGAAATGGGCAGAAGACATGAACAGACATTTTTCCAAAGAAGACATCCAAATGGCCAACAGACACATGAAAAAGTGCTCAACATCGCTCGGCATCAGGGAAATCCAAATCAAAACCTCCATGAGATACCACCTCACACCAGTCAGAATGGCTAAAATTAACAAGTCAGGGAACGACAGATGTTGGCGGGGATGTGGAGAAAGGGGAACCCTCCTACACTGTTGGTGGGAATGCAAGCTGGTGCAACCACTCTGGAAAACAGTATGGAGGTTCCTCAAACAGTTGAAATTAGAGCTACCATTCGATCCAGCAATTGCACTACTGGGTATTTACCCCAAAGATACAAATGTAGGGACCCGAAGGGGTACGTGCACCCCAAAGTTTATAGCAGCAATGTCCACAATAGCCAAACTGTGGAAAGAGCCAAGATGTCCATCGACAGATGAATGGATACAGAAGGTGTGGTATATATACACAATGGAATATTATGCAGCCATCAAAAGGAATGAGATCTTGCCATTTGCAACGACGTGGATGGAACTGGAGGGTGTTATGCTTAGTGAAATAAGTCAATCAGAGAAAGACATGTATCATATGTCCTCACTGATATGAGGAATTCTTAATCTCAGGAACAAACTGAGGGTTGCTGGAGTGGTCGGGGGTGGGAGGGATGGGGTGGCTGGGTGATAGACATTGGGGAGGGTATGTGCTACGGTGAGCGCTGTGAATTGTGCAAGACTGTTGAATCACAGATCTGTACTTCTGAAACAAAAAACGCAACATATTTTAAGAAAAAAGAAAAAGAAGAAGATAGCAGGAGAGGAAGAATGAAGGGGAGTAAGTCAGAGGGGGAGACGAACCAGGAGAGATGATGGACTCTGAAAAACAAACTGAGGGTTCTAGAGGGGAGGAGGGTAGGGGGATGGGTTAGCCTGGTGATGGGTATTAAAGAGGGCACATTCTGCATGGAGCACTGGGTGTTATGAACAAACAATGAATCATGGAACACTACACCAAAACAAATGATGTAATATACGGTGATTAACATAACAATAAAAAATTAAAAAAATAAATAAAAATAAATAAATAAATAAATAAAAATAAACTGGTTGGTTTTGTATCAACAGGACTTTTCCCAAACCATTGGTTTCCTTTGCCTCCTGCATAACTAAACAGGACGACCCTGGGGAGGTAGGCAGGTTTCCTGAGAAGTCACACGTCTCCATTCAAGCCTGGCCAGCTCCCAGCCCCCTCACCCCACCCCCGCCCCCGCACAAAGGCCGTGGCCCCACCTTCATCACTGGGAGTCCAAACGTAGACAGCTGATGCAAGTAGGTGTTCTCACACAGCCTAACTGGGATGCTTGGAGCAGCAGCGAGCCTCTAATTTGTGAACAACTGCAGAGCAAAAATGAGTACCAAGGGATGTGATTACAGGACCCTCTCTCCCGCAAGCATGAGGACAGCTGGACCAAGAAGTTCACCGCAGCAGGTGTCTGTCTATCCAAAAACCAATCTCAACATCAAAACATCAGTAGGGGAATGGATAAATAAAATGATATATCCATAGGATAGAATTCCCTACAGCCATGGATAAACACTACTAATTAGATCGGGGAGGGGGGTGGCCAGCTCTCAGAAATATACTGTAAAGCAGAAAAAAATACGTTTTTTTTTTCCTGTGGAGAATGCAAATTTTTTTAAATTTAAGTTAAATTAGCCAACATATAGTACATCATTAGTTATTTTTTAATTTTTTAAATTTATTTGTTTGTCAGAGAGAGAGAGAGAGAGCACAAGCAGGGGGAGTGGCAGGCAGAGGGAGAAGCAGGCTCCCCGTTGAGCAAGGAGCCCGATCTGGGACTCGATCCCAGGACCCTGGGATCATGAGCTGAGCCGAAGGCAGATGCTTAACCGACTGAGCCACCCAGGCCGCCTATCATTAGTTTTTGATGTATTGTTCAATGATTCATCAGTTGCATATAACACCCAGTGCTCATCACATCACGTGCGCTCCTTAAAGCCCGTCCCAGTTACCCCATCCGCCCTCAACCTCCCCTTCCACAACCCTCTGTTTGTTTCCTCGAGTCCAGAGCCTCTCAGGGTTTGTCTCCCTCTCTGATTTCTTCCCATTCAGTTTTCCCTCCCTTCCCCTACGATCCTCCACGCTATTCCTTATAATTCCTCATATGAGTGAAACCATATGATAATTGTCTTTCTCTGATTGGCTTAAAATAAGTTTCTAAATGAATATTTAGTAGAGTATCATCTCTTTTATAAACACATAAACCTAATGTTATATTTTGTTCATGGAAAATATATTTAAAGGTAGATACACTTAGAGATGTGTAATATATATATATTTGTTAATGGGCCAGAGCACACACATCAAATTTACAGCAGTGATAATCTTAGAAGAAGGAGAGGACGTAGGGACTGAGGAAGAACCAGGGGGACTTTCTTTCTATTGGCAATGTTTTATTTCTTATATCAAAAAAGGGGGGCGTGGAAGCAAATGTGGATGGTTAGCCCTTGTCCATCCTGATGGTAAGAGCTGATGCCAAGACCAAGAGCCTACTGCCTTTATTTGGACAACAGGGCTCTGGACCAATCCGGGAGGAGCCCTTCTCATCCTCCCCTGCCCTGTGAAGGGAGATGAACCTGTTCCCTGCACCTGTGCCCAGGTGGGATGCTTAACGCCGATCCCATCCCATTGCTGCAGAGGCTCACAAGGATTCTCCCATCAGGCTGAAAGCCTTGCTGTTCCCATCTCCCTCCTCAAGGTCACAGACGACAGCCTTGAATCAGGAACACCCGTGATGTCAGCCCAGGGGTGACCTCTCCAGAAAGTCACAGAAGGGTCTTGTAAGTCACTGGATGCCCCCTCCTGGGAGCACGTACAACAATAAAGCTGAAGTTTACCAACAGAAAAGAAAAACAACAAACACTGATCCTCAGGCCAAGGGTAAATCACAGCCTTTGCGTCACACATGAGGGTCTCTGTGGCTGTGTCTAGTCACCCCAGCTCAGAGATCAGTCCCTCAGTTCAGCTTGACCTTGGTCAAGGGCAAGATTTTCTTTCTGCCTCGCCCACCTCTTTTCACACAAGGAGTGTCCACGGTTGTCCACCATTGTTAGACTTTGGGGAACCCACACGTCGATCCCAGGGTGTCCCCTCTGCTCTAGGGACCCTGCTCCCTCCACACCTGCCTCTTGCATCCTACACATTGTCTACTGTCACTTCTTCCTGCTCCCAGCCCCCAGCTGTATCTCCTCGTTGGAACAAGCATCCAGATCCTTCTGTCATCCAGGAATCTGTTCATGCTTCTGGGTGACCTGGGGACAACCCCAGCAGAGAGGAAGGAAAATGCACAGAAAACTGTTTCTCTGCTCTGATAGAAAACTCCCTTCCCTGTCCATTGGCTGCGTTGATCCTTCCACGCTTTGAGACGTGGATTTTGCCGTTACTGCTACTTGGCAGGCAAGGGAACCAGGGCTTTGACTCTACCCCATGCCTGTAATCACTAAGGAAAATTCCCATCTCTTTCCTTCCTCCTCCCTGCAAGGAGAATCTGTTGGGATAGAGACTTGGGAGGATAGAGAGAGGAGAAGAAAAACGAGAGGTGTGCAGGGGACGGGGCAGGGATGGGGGAAGTCTTTTGAGTGAAGTGTTTTTGAGAACAGCACCTGTGCTGTACCTTTCGGTGAATGGGAGAGAGACAAGCAGGATTTCAAGAGCTCCTGGTAGGTGATTATGGGTTTCCAGGTGTTCGAGGAACAGATGGAAACAAATCTGAGTCGTTTTGAAATGATTTTTGGTTATTTAGACTGTCTTGTCTGAAGGCAACAGCATATCGCAGCTGATCCATGAGGGTCACACCTTTATAAGCTTTGTGGTAAAAAGTGAGGGCCGGGATCCAGCCTGAGGCCTCTCAGTTCTGGCGTGGAATCCTTTCCACTGGTCCTGGGTGCCTGGTCCACTATGTGTGAAGCCTCAAGCCAGTCGCGGGGCAGCGGGCTTGTTGAAGAGTCCATCAGTTAATGTTCTGCCTCTGATATGCAGAACCACGCCAGCAAGGCCCCGGTAACACCTGCTAGTGATGGCTGTTCTCCTGCAAGGGTGTGGCTGACCTTTAGCTACAGCATCTTCTCTGCAGGAAGAAATTCTGCTCCTGGGTCCTGAGCCTTGGTCTCCTCTTGCACTGCTCTACTTCCCCCTCAAGGCCTCTGCTTGACCAGCCAGGGGCCATGGAACCAGGATAGGGCAGGGACATTTCTCACTGAAACTGTGGCTAAGCAAAAAAAAAAAAAAAAAAAAAACAGAAGAGAGTAGAACTTAGACAGGTGTGGAAATAGGAAGCCAAGGACCAAGATGACAGAAGGAGAGTCTGAAGAACCAGAAGCAGGTCCCAAAGGCTTACAATTCCAATAAGCCTTCACCCATCCATTTCTCCATTCATTCACTCATTCCCTCATGCACTCATTCCTTCTACAATTATGTCAGGTGCTGAACTGTGTGTTGGGGACACTATGGAGAACTTCACAACACCCCTAGTCCTTGAGGGGCTCATATGCCAGTGGAGGGGGCGGACATCAAACAACCCCTTTTGTGAGAGAAGGTCAAATGGTGGTAAGGGCTACAAAGAAAAATACATCTGAACAAGGGGGATGAAGAAAGCCTGGAGTGAGGCTGGCTCCTTCAGTTTGGGTGGTCTGGGAAGGCCTCTGAGAAGGTGACATGGCTGCTTGGATAAAGGAGGAGGATGTTCCAGGCAGAGGGAACAGCAAGTGCAAAGGTCCGGAGGCAGGAAGGCACTAAGGGACGCTAAGAAACTAGTGCTGTGGCCCACAGGGAGCAAGGAAAAGAGTGGTGGCAAATGAGGAGAAGAAACAGCAAAGCTTAGGCCACGGGGCCTTTGTCAGCCAAAGGATGGGGATTTTCAGATTCTTTTGTTTTTAAGTGAGATGGTAATCCATTGAACAGTTTTAAGCAGTGGAATAACATGATCTGATTTTTTTTTTTTTTTTTTTAATGTACCGCTAGCCCGGCCACACTCAGGTCAGCTCTCCTCACTCTGGAGTCCCAGAAATGGAACCCACTTCGCAGTATTCCTGCAAGATTCAAATTTTCTACCCCTGCCTTCCAGCTGTTTGCCGTGGTTTCCTTGTGTGTTGACTCACACTTGCTGCCCCCTGAACCCTGCTCCCTGCCGCTCCAGCTCCCACAACTGTTCTGCCTCCTGTCTGTCAATTGGGGCCCAGGCGACACAGCAACAGTCACAAAAGGCACATTTGCATCTCACCCGCATTGGTAGAGCAAAAAGGGGGGAGGATAGCTGCAATAAACAAATATTTGGAGTAGGAAGCAGTCAAGCAAAAGGAGAAAGGAAAATTATCCAAACACAACTAAATCAAGATTTCACTGCGGCCCCGTTGCCGAGGTGCAGACATTTAAAGTAAGTGTTCACTTCTGCTTCGGACTCTTTGCAATCATTCTGAAGCCATACAGCAAGGGGGTCCTTAGGGAAAGAGCCCCGCCCTTCACTTTGTAGATGGGGAGCTTGAGAAGCAGAGAGGTGAAAAACTCACCCAAGTTCACATGGCTGCCAAGTGTGGGGGCTCAGCTCTATCCGGGGCTCCTGACAACCAACCAAGGCTTCTCTCGGCAAAGATCTATGAAAGGCTGGGCAGTAATAAGGGCAGCTTGTGCCACCCTTCCCCCTAATGCAAATGAAGAAGCTGATTTGAGGAACAGAAACCTGGTTAAGATTTGCCCACCTACAAACAATGCTGAGGAGAAAGTTGAACGCTGAAAATAAAAGGAAATACAAGAAGAAAATAGCCTCTCATGTGACTGAGAGCATGAGTTCTACTCTGAATAATGGAAGGGTTGCCTGTGAGAAGCCATACCCTCCAACCAAGCAAGTTCGAAGTCTGATGCAAGCCTCCCCGAGTTACCATAAAATCATCGATATTATAGAGTTCAGTGGTTTGCAAAACGCTAGCATCAGCTTCGTCCTTTTATTTGCTTTTTGCAACAACCTGAGAGGAGATGAAAGTTGGTATCATCATATCCCCATTCTACAAATGAGGGGACTGAGGCTCAGCACAATTAAATGACTTCCCAAAATCAAGCAAAAGAGCCTGGAACCTTAGGCTGCTGAATTCTTTCGATGAGGTACAGTAGAAGGAAGGGAGGAAGGAAGGAAGGAAGGAAGGGAGGGGGGAGGGAGGGAGGGAGAGAGGAAGGAAGGATGGATGGGAGGATGGGAGGAAGGAAGGAAGGAAGGAAGGAAGGAAGGAAGGAAAGGAAGGAAGGGAGGGAGGGAGAGAGGAAGGAAGGGTGGATGGGAGGATGGGAGGAAGGATGGGAGGAAAGGAAGGGGAAAGAAGGAAGTTAGGAAGCCACAGATTGGAATTCCAATTTTGCTACATACTTACCACACCAAGCCTCAGTTGGCTCACCTGTAAAATAGGGAGAATACATAACACCTACATGGCAGCCATCGTGAGGATGAAATGGGGGAATGTGTGAGAAGCAGCCAGCTCAGTGCCTGACACAATGTAGGTCCTCATTGTTATTAACATATACAACTTCTTTCTATTAATCTCATTTTGCAGACTTCCCAGCTACCCACTGCCCAACACAGGACTGGAAGACACAAATGGGAGACTCTTTTCCTATGGTGCCACTCCCAGATTCATTGGCCTGGTTTCTTATTGAGAAAGATGTTGGCCTAGTTTAAGCAGAGATTCACTTATCAAAAGAATCCACTGAGGGGGTCACCAGAAAGCAAATACGCAGGAGATGACCAGAACTTCATTCCTTCATACAATACATATTAATGAAGCGTTTACCAAAGCTGAGCTTTAGGGAGACCATGGTAAACCAGGTGGGCCTCCGGGAACTGAAGTTATAACTTAAGTCATAGATGACAAACGTCAAGCAGGTCATTTGCATCACCAACATGGCTGTCTTCGTCTGCTATAACAAAATACAATCTACTGAGTGTCTCATAAATAATAGAAACAATAGAAATTTATTTCCTATACTTGGAGAGGCTGGGAGGTCCAAGATCAAGGCGCTGGCTGATTCCGGGTCTGGTGAGAACCCACTTCCTGGTTCACAGGCAGCCATCTTCTCGCTGGGCCCCTCACGTGGCAGAAGGGGTGAGGCAACTCTCTAGGGCCTCTTTCATAAGGGTAGTAATTCCATGATCTAATCACTTCCCCAAGTCCCATCCCCTGATACCACCACCTTGAGCATTATGACTTCAACATATGAATTTTAGGGGACACGACCATTCAGACTATAGCGATGACTTAGATATCTCTGGTCTGCCCTGGCTCTTTGAGGGCTCAGAATTAATCAACAAACAGAAGCACCTTCCTTCCCTCTGTTTCCTCCACTTACCTGCAAAATCATCTCCCGTTAAGTGAGCATCCAGTCAAAGCAGAGAAAATAATAGTCCTTGGTGATGCCTATCACTGCTGCTCACTTTCCATTGCTGAGAACTAATCACATGGACATCATGTTTTGACTGGGCAGTCACTTTCCACACTAGGGAGGGGGGAGCATGACTTTTTGGTGGTTGACTGGCCACCTCTGCTGCAGCCAGAAAGGAGGCTGACCATACCAGTAATCATAACACCTAATGAAAATAACCCAGGGAAGTCAAATATAAAGACATGGAAAGAGACTGAGAAAAGTATGTCAGGTACATATTAACACTATTCATTTCACACAAAGTAAAATTCAAAGTGAAAAGCACTGAAAGGAATATATCATAATGACAAAAGTACAACCTACCAAATGTGTCACAAACCTTTATGCACCTAATATCTTAGCTTCAAAATGTACAAAGCAAACCCTGATAGAAATGCAAGCAGACACTGATGAGTTCTCAAAATGGTGACTATTTTTTTAAATTAAGTTTTTATTTTGATTCCAGTATAGTTAACATACAGTGCTATATTAGTTTCAGGCATACAATATAGTGATTCAACAATTCCATATGTCACCTAGGACAAGTACACTCCTTAATCCCCATCAACTATTTCACCCATCCCCCAGCCACCTCCCCTCTGGTGATCATCAGTGTGTTCTCCAGAGTTAAGAGTCTGTTTCTTGGCTTGTGTCTCTCTTTATTTTTCCTTTATTCATTTGTTTGGTTTCTTACATTCCATATGTGAGTGAAATCATATGGTAGTTGTCTGTCTCTGACTGACTTATTTCATAGCCACTGTGGAAAACAGTACAGAGAAAAACTGCTATTACACTATACTTCAACTAACTGGAATGTAAATAAAAACTTGAAACTACAAAACAATTAAAAATCAATAAAATTTTAAAAATCTTAAAAAAAACAGCATGAAGTTTCCTCAGAAAGTTAAAAATAGAACTACCCTATGATCCAGTAATCACACTACTGGGTATTTACCCAAAGAATATGAAAACACTAATTCAAAAGGATATACGAACCCCTATGTTTGTAGCAATATTATTTATCATATCCAAACTATGGAAGCAGCCCAAGTGTCCATCCGTAGATGAATGGATATGGAAGAGGTGACATATATATATATATATATATATACACACACATATATATATATAAAATGTTGATTATATATATAGATAAAGAAAAGGTGATATATATATAATGTTGATTACATATATAATAATGTTATATTATATCTATATTATATATAATAATAATGTTATATATATAATGTGGATACATATAAATGTTGATTACATAAGAGGTGATTCCATAAGAGATGGAATATGATATTCCAATAATAATGGAATATTATTCAGCCGTAAAAAAGAATGAAATCTTGCCATTTGCAACAACATGGATGGAGCTAGAGAGTATAATGCTAAGTGAAATAAGTCGTGCTAAGTGGTGGCTTTACACAATTGGCTGATCAAGTACTACAGAAAGGAATAAAGCTCCAGAAGTCCTGGCTAATAAAATGAACAATTATGATCTAATAGATATATGGAGAGAAATAACTTTGCATCCAACAGAGATTATACACTGCTTTCAAACTCATGAGACATCCTCCTGGTGTATTAGGTCACAAAGACACTCACAACAAATCCCCAGAAGGAAAACTCTGGCAGTACATACTCATGAGCTATAATGGAATAACATTGGAAAATAATAGCAAAAGGGTAACCAACAAAAATCTATTCTCTTGGGTATTTTACATGACTCATGAGTCATAGGCTTGAAAGAAAATAAAACCAGAAATGACAAGCTATTTAGAATCACATTAAGAGCCCTGCATACATATCAAAGCCCATGGGCTATGCTGAGGCATCATTCAGAAGAAAAATAGATAGCCTTAAATGCTTAGGGTGGAAAACCAGAAGGGTTAAAAATATATGAATCAACCAAGCTTTCAACTCAAGAAGCTGAGGGCAGAGATGGGGAGGGGGAGAGAGAAAATAAATCTAAAGAAAGTTGAAGGGAGAAATCAAGGAAGATAAAAGTAGAAGTTAATAAAAATAGAACACAAAAAGGCAATAGAATTGACAAGTTAAACTGGTTCTTTGGAAGAACTGATGGAAGGACAAACCTTTGTCCTTCCTGTCTAAAGAAAGAGGACAAAATCATAAGTCAAAAATTGTAAGAATATAAATTACAAAATTATAAAAATTGTAAGAACCTTTATGGCAAGCATTTTGAAAATCACTAGATGAAGTGACTAATTTCCTAGGAAAATATTTGTTATAAAAATTCATTCAAGGAAAGGTAGGAAACTTGAATAGAACCTTAACCACAGGAGGGGGGCCTGGGTGTCTCAGTCGGTTAAGCATCCGACTCTTGATCTCAGCTCAGGTTTTGATCTCAGGGTTGTGAGTTCAAGCCCCATGTTGGGCTCCATGCTGGGTGTGGAGCCTACTTAAAAAAAAAATAAGCATCAAGTCCAGAAGGCTTTTCAGAAGGTAGATTTTACCAGACCTTTAGTGAAGAGCTAATTCTGTATAAACTATCTCAGAGCCTAGGAAAAAACAGAAAGCCCATCTAAATCATTTTATAGTTTCAATACAATACAGATCCCTGATATATATATCTTTATCTCTTTCTATCTCTCTATCCAAACACATATATGTACATTTACTTAAAAACAAAGATGCAAAATTCTATATCCAGAAGTGTATTAAAGGGATAACACAAAATGGTCATTCTAGGAATGTAAAGATTTTCAATGTTAAGAATCTATTAAAGAGATGAAAGTAGAAAAGCAATATGATTGTATTAACAGATCCTTTAAAGGCATTTGCTGAAATTCAACACCTATTCATGAGAGCAACCCAGGAAAAGAAATGCCTTAAATCTGATAAAGTGTGTTAGTAACCTAAATAAGCACCATTTTATGTGTCAGATATAAATCCCTCCCATAAAAGTCAGAGATAAGATGAGATTCCTATTCAACATTGTACTGCAATTACTAGATGTTACATTAAGGGTAGGAAAAGCTAATAGTATTCATCTTTTTTCTTTTCTTTGGCTTAATGGAAGCAATCCTGTTTGCACTTTACAGTTTACAAGAGTTCCATAAGCCCTATTTTTTGTGATCCTCACAATGACCAGGTGAGACCAGGTCAAGTATTGTCATCCCAACTTTGAGAATGAGAAACCCGAGGATCATAGAATTTTTAGATTTCCCTAAAGACACATAGTTAGTAAGCAGT